CTCTATCTATATTACACAGCTGATAAATTCAAGGCAGCAGATGCTATCAAATTATCTTTATCAAATATCTTCCATTTGGGGGGAAGACTCATAGGATGGTAGAGAAGGAACCTCAGGAGGTCTAATCCCCTGTTCAAAGTAAGGCTATAGACTATTAACCTGCAAAGGTCAACACTGTCTTTCCAGTATTGCAGGTGACAGGATTAGATGTTTTTGAAGTGCCAAGGAGCATATATCCAATGAGTCTTTCCTTCATAGGAGCAGCATCCAAGTATTGAAGTATTTTTAGTGTGGAACATCAAGTACTGTTTATCCCAACTGGACATCCAAGTTGAAAACTTTGTTTTTCAAGACAAGAAATAAATTCTTTTTGCAATTGGCATGATCCTAAATTTGCTATTTAAAAATGTATGTTTAAAGAAAATTGTTAAGTTGTTGAAGCATATGGGAAGTTGAGGCACTTCTATAGAAACAGGAGTTCAGAACTGCCTCTCTGCATTGGAGCAGGTTGGGTATATTGGGGCTCTTTCTAAATGAAACCAGTGGTTTTTGTTGAGTGTGCCTGAATATCTGTGCATATCTGTTTTTTCTGTTCTCACAGTTCCTGCACTATATTTTGTTGCTAATATTAGTCCAAATGGATTTCAGTGTTGTCATTTTTAATGAGTATAATAGGTGTTCAGTTAGCTTTGACTTGTTTAAAGGTTACTGAAAATATTTGCCATATTGTTGTCTGAGTTTTCAGACCAGTACAGACACTAGTATTTGGACTGTAAAGTGGAATTTACAATGCAATTCACATGAAGATCAGTGCAAGTGTTGCAACAGGGATGTTATATTAGCATATGCTGTGTTTTGCAGCATGATTCTAGTGTGGACTGCTCATTTTGTAAATTCAAATCGGGTTCATTGCTACCTTAATATTGTAGGAACACCCAGCAGAGAGCAGTTACTTTGAATTCAACCTGTGTAATATCAAGCATTTGTTAAATTCCTCTACTCAAAAGCAATTCATTTTCTTACTGTATTCCTTTTTACAGTTCAGTATTAGTATCTACACTAGAGCACAGACTTATGATTAATACATATTTCTGAATTGTCCAAAGGGTGGCTGAGGGAAGATGGAGCTCATGTAAGTTTATTGCACAGAGGCATGTGGATAGATGCAGTAATAGAGAAACTGCTTTAAAGACTGAAAGTTGAATTGCGTTTGAGTGACTCCCACTCATTCAGCACATATGGAATAGTCACACCAAGATTCATCTGAACTTCCTCATACGAGTCTTTCATTCAGTGCTAATAGTTGAAAAGGCTGTTTTTGTTATTTGATTAGTCCAGTTCTGTAATTTGCCTTGTTCATGAAGATATGTATATTCTAATAGAACTTAAATCCTCTGGACAGATACAAGAATGCACAATCTGCATATTGTAAAATAGCAATATTTCTGTCAAGGATTTTGATTCCCAAGATACTTGCAAGTAGTTATTGGTGCTTGGAATTGGAAGAAACCTCAGTTTTGAGGAAACTGAACAGCCCATGTATTCTTATGGGTTTTTTCTCTTTATTAAGGAGATTTTTTTCCTGAGTTCTGCAAAATGCTTTTCTGCTCTCTCTGAGTATTTGAACCCTTTGTAACTTTTTCAGAGCGTGAGGGTATTTCTTAAAGGTCCTTATAGAATCTCAATAGATTTTTTTTTAGAATTTCTATGTTTTTTTTAAACACAGACATCCTTTACGTCCTTGTATCACAGCAGATAACTATCTAGCTCAGTATTACATCTCTTGCAGTGGCTTGGAACAGGTATTTGTTGAGAAATACAAGAACAGGGAAAACATTTAATGATGCTTCTGCAGCCTTGAGTTTGATGTTCTGAACAAAAGACGCTTTTAATAATGTTGTGAAGTCTTGAGAATTTACTGAGAAATGCTCCTGTTACTGAGTTGTATTTCAGCACTTTCTTATAGTAGGTTGGCTCATTATATTTTAAGGTTAAATTATAATTAAGAGAAAGTTTAAAAAAATGGAATTACCTAATAAAACATATTACATATTGCAGCTATTTTATGATGTTAGTTATCCCTCAAATCCTTTCAGTGATAACTTTATTGTTGCTTATCATTTAGGAGAATTTATAAAAGTGTTCTTTTCAATATTTCTCGTATTTTTACTTCCAAAATGAATGTAGAAATTATTGCAACTTCTAATGAAGCTTCTAGTCAACCTGRTAAGTCCAATTTTTCTGAAGCCGTGATTACATAGATGTCTCAGAAGTGAATCCTTGGGTTCTTCATTTACTATTCCATCTTGGGGAGAAAAACGCATGACTTAGAACTGATGATTTTGCTTCATGTTAATCTAGAAAAGTTTTCTGGTCAAGTTACTGAATCTGAGGAGAAATGGTAAAAATTTTCAGTAGCTTTTGGACAAACATTCCTGAYTTGTTTTGGGTTTTGTTCTATAAATGTTTGTTTTCTGGAAAACACTGGTAGTTTTTTGAAATAGTTGGTAAAGGAGCTCCTAAATGACAAATATAATAAACATTTCTGTTCATATTTGAATTTGGCATTTGGTTCTGCACAGATTATATCAATTTACAATGATGAGCATGGAGCATTGCTTAACTCTGGATAAACATGAGTCTTTATGCTGTTTTAGCAGAGGTGGTTGGGATTCYTGGCATGTTGTTCTGCCATAGGACGATTAATTCTACCTTAAGATTAAAGTGAAACAATTCTACTTYGTCATTATCTGATGCATCTACCAGCATTATTTGGTAGATTAACTGAGGAATAATCATTGCTTAGACCTCTCTGCTATGATTAAATTCAAACAAAAATCCATGCAATTATTACTTCATTGAGCTAAATTCCTGGACTACAGCAGTAGCTGCATCCTTGGTTGGGGAACATGAGATTTTAATCCCTAGCATTATGTGAAGCTTTAATCGCGTGTTTGTTTCCTATTTGYGATCTAGGAAATGTCATCACTTTATATAGCTAAGCAGTATGGAGCGTAATCTAAGGATTAGGAAAAGGCAAATCTTCCTATTTTCTTGACCTTGAATATCTGATTGGGTTTGAGTGATCTGGCATGATTTTTCCCTAATTACCTAACCTTGATGTACCTGAATGATAAATATCAGATAAGTTTTGCCATTCTTCTGAGTCTACAGCTTAGTTTTATTTCATATTCCTTTAAAAGCTTCCAGTGCAGAGAAGTTACTTGTATTTGTATTTTTAATATCATATAGCTATAATATTGATGTAAGTGAATCAAAATACTTCAAATGATTCATGAAGGTATGAGCAGTTGATGAAGATGTGACTGTTAGTTCTTCAAATACTGAGTTCAGATAATATTTTACTGTATAAGTTTAAATATTTAGAGAATTCAACTTTATTGATCTGTAGAGAAACTTAGGCAGCTGACTTCTCAGAGGAAGTAGTAGATACTGTAGTAGATACTGAAAAAGTCAGAAGAGATGTAATGATATGTTTGAACCATGACAAATTCTAGACCTCAGTGTTCCTGAATGGAAGCTCTTCTTTTTAGTTTTTTTTGAAGTGGTGTCTACATAAACATGTACATTATGCTTTACTGGTATTTATATGCTAAAATAACATTCCTAAAATAGTTGTTTTTAGCATATAGGTCTTTGGACTGAGCAATTTAAGCTTTTTCTGAGCATACTAGAGCATAATGGATGCTTTAGGAAAAGTATGCTTTAAAGAATAAGGATCTTGTAGATTTTATTTCTAGATTTCTGTATTCATAGAATCCATATCACCCTGAAACTTTCTAGGAACTTAGCAAAAAAAAAAAAATCATTTGAAAGCATAGGTGCAGAAGACTGTTCTTCCAGGAGTATTTAGATTGGTTAGTGAGTTCAGTTTTACTACTGTAGTTTTTCAGTTGTAAGGAAAAGTTGTAACTTTGCTGAAAACATTTTTCCTTTTCTGTGCTAGTAAGATGAATGAGCATAAGGGGAAAGGAAGCTCAAGTTTCAGCTATAAGAAAGGATGTTAGTGCTGTCTTTTTTTGTGGTGATACATGGGATGGAACTAATATTCATTAAACTAAACTGTCAATGATGCATTATTTTGTAGGAATAAATGTATTTGTTTACCCATCATAGTTCCTTCTATTTTTCAGTAGTGAAGAAAGGCCAATTCAAACTCATTTCTCTTCTAAAGAGTTACCTAAAGGATGCTTTATTCTTTCTGTGTTTTTAATCAGTCTCTTGACTGCACTCAAATTCTGTCTGTCTCGTGTTTGTTCTGATCACCCTAGAGAAATCTTTYAGATTTTAAGTGTCACTAACTTCTGGTCAAGAAGTGAAGCTGAAATGAAACTGCAAGGGTATTTTGTATGTTTTTGATTTTAAAGTTAAATTCAACTAGCAAACTTAAGATGACTGGGAAGGACAAATGTTTGTTATTAGTCTAGAAGACCTTTTGTAAAAATTCAGTACATGGCTGTATATTGATAGCCCTGTGATGACATGTGTTTAATGTGCTATAGCCAGATGTGGAAGAGTTCAACAGATGCTTCATTTTCAGTCTCCTTGTGAGCTCTTTGCCTTTTACCACCTGTGAACTGCAGTCTACACTATTTTCATTAGCACAGGGGACAGCTATAATGAAAATGAGCTCTGTGTGTGCATACGGGGACATGTAGTATCGTGAGGTCTAGGTTGGGACTTCTTAAATATCACTCCTAATGATGTGATCAGTGCTAGAGCACTAATCCCAGATTTTGGGATATGATTTATGTGCTTAATAGCATTTGTGATATTTTGAGAGAGATTGAATTGACATTTGCTCCTAAGTTTACAGTAAGCATGGCTTACTCCTTGGACCTCTATCTAATGCTATTATGCTGTAATGCATTAATTTAAAACTGATTTTTTGAAATTACCCAGTTGTTTTTGAAGAGACATTGCTTTTAGATTGTGGTCTTAAACTGAAAAAATAATAGGCTTTTCTTTTTCTTGAACAGAAATTGAAAAATTCCAAAAAGGGGAAGGGAAGGAAGAAGAAAAATATATTGATGTAGTCATCAATAAAAATATGAAGTTGGGACAGAAAGTTTTGATTCCAGTAAAACAGTTTCCGAAGGTAAGTGCACCTTTTATACTTTATATATCTGAATACTTTCAAGGGATAGTTATCTAGTTAGGATATTAGAGGAATTTGTTGCATTTTAAACAGTGTTAATGCTACTAATGTTATCCTTTGGTCTGTTCTGTAGAAAATTCTTACGGAACTGTTTTTACAGAAAACAAAATTGAACCTAGGTATTATTGCATGATTGCTAAAGTAAACTGTTGCAAGCAATATTCTCACCTCTCAAAGATCATATTTTGCTATTTTACGTAACAAAATGTAAATGATTGCTATCTTGAAAATATATTACAAGGAACCACCCATTTTGAAGTCATCTTTAAGAACTGTAACTTAAGATAAGAATGGTATGCCTGAATACAGTCTGGGCCTACATGTCTCRGATTTCTTATTTCTCTATGTACAATGCTAAATTTTGTGTTAATTGGGAAGCTAGGATGTCTCTCCTCCATTTTGTAGATAAAGTTTTGTTTTAAATTTAATATTGGGCTGTTATTCAGACAGGTTATTCTCCCTTAACAAAGGTTATAGAGAGAATTGCCTAGTTTTCTGTTCAAAGTAGTATTTGTTAACGTTTTCTTTTGGCACTGACACAAGTGAACTCTGTAGTAGGAAAGCTGCTTCTTACAACAAAAGAGCAGGAATGTGTTCCCAGTTATACAAAACAGTATTTTGAGAGCAGATAAGTCATATTTTTCAGATAGCTAAAAATAAATTCTCCTCCAAAAGGAGAATCTTCATAATAGCAAAAGGGTTGAATTATATTTGAGTTGCTTGAAGTGCTGTGCTTTATTGCAGGAAAAGTACAGTTTAAAGTGCACCRCTAGAAAATGAGTTCCTTATTTTTTTATTTTCAATCCTTCAAAAGATTAGCCTGTGTTGTAATGTTGAATTAAGTTTACCTGTATTACTCAATTATATAGTCTGTTGTAGGAAACTTAGTTTTGTTAATATTTTTGGCCATCGTGAATCCTTAATATTTCTTTTCTGCTAGCTGTTATTCGAGAATAAAGAATTGCTACATAGAAGCACTTATTCAACATTCAATAGACTGTGGAGCTCTAAGCAAATTTTATGAAGAGATAATGCTATAAAATCAGAATTATCTTTATTTGAATGACTTTTCCTACTGGAATCTTCAAGGCTGCTTTTGTCTCTGCTTGTGGAGCAAAGAAACTCAGTTATTTGGTGCCTTTCACTGAATCTCTTTTAAATAAGTTTCTTCGTGCTGTATTTTCCACCTATGCTGTGCTGGGTAACGTGGACGGACTGCTATATGGAGAGGCTTCAAAGTTTCTGCAAAAGTTACTTCCATGAATTTCTTTGAGCTTGTTACTTACGTGCAGGCATCTGTCTTCAAATTCACAGTTCCATCCTAGTGACTGTAAAGAATAATATCCAAACATTATCCCCCTCCACACAAGGAAGGGAGGTTAAGAAAAGGTGATATAGCTTCAACATGGCAAACTTATGGCCTTATCCTGGACTACTGTATAGGGTCTGGAGTGATGTCACAGTTTTTGCCTGTATATAGGCAATCTGAAAGCCTTTTGTATCAAAAAATTTATTTAGAGGCCTTCAGAGAAGAACTCAAATTAGGAATGTTTATCCACTCTGTAGGAGGTATATATAAAACTATTCCAGGTGCTTGGGGGRCAAGCTGAATTTGGTGTGCATGCATCATACATCCTGAGTTGCAGAATAGAAGTAGTCAGGGTTATTGCACAGAGTATAAAACCTGAAATAAAGCTTCATGTGAAGGATTCTACGTCTAGGCCCTTTTCTGCATCTGTATGTGATTTGCCAGACCTCACCTATGCTGCCTGCAAGAGGGGTTAGTGTTGGGATATCGAGTGATGCAAATACTTATTTATGTATAAATGCTGAATTTGAAGGCATTCTTCTAGTAAGTGAATAGTCCTCTTGCTTTCTTTATGCCAAGAGCCCTTGCTAAAGTTTGTGCAAGAGGCACAAGGTTCTAAACAGAAAGATATTTCTAATCTTTTAGGGCATGGAGTCCTTTTGGTGTTGGTAAAGGGATCTGTTGTTTAGACCTGATCACATTCAGTAACTGATGATCTGTCAAACTGGMACTGAGGTGTTTCAGTTGGGTTGAATTTGGCAAACTTGGACATCAAGGAAATAAAAASGAAAAGCTGAACTTGCTTCAACTTTAGAAATGGCAACCTTTTCCCAAATGAAAACAGCTGCATTGCTTAACTTAAACTGAATTGAAAAACTGTTTAAGATTAACCTTTTAGTTTAATATTTAAATAATAATTACAAGTGAAGTGGTTTTGTTAGCAGGAGTTATTCTGTTCTTTGTTTTCCATCAATTTGCTACTTATTCGGSGACATTTAGACCAATGCAGCTAACTGCTTCAATAAAAAACTTCCTCTTAGTGCCTCTTTGACCTTTTTTTCCCTAGAACTTSCTCTTTAATTCTGACTCTTTGAATAAGTCATAACAGCCTCAGCAGAGGTCAGACTGTTCTAGTTCTGATCTGGTCAACCTGTCATTGCCATGGCTGGTYGCATTACCTGTTTTGTCACAAGTTCTTGCAAGATCAAAGCCAGGTCCTCTGCATACTCAACATTGTGACCTCTCCTAGCCCTGGCTGACTGGGTAACTAMAGCAGAAAGCTGTTGAACTGAAGCTCAGAATTCATGCTTTTCTTTGAAAGGAATCTGGTGGGCCTCATACTAAAAAGCAAGTTTTTCACTTTTTATCTTARTGTCCTTGTTTCCACTGGAAAATAGATAAACAGATGCATTTAACTGGCCTTTTGCTGAGTGTTCAAAGAGACTTTCCTCAGTCTCATGCGGATATGTTAAACTTGTCTCCTACCTAKCAGTCTTTAATTGGTTCTGTGTTGCTACCTTTCTTTCAGAGACCTTTGGCTTTGCTAAAATCTTGAAAGTATTAACAAGCATAATATCTCATACTAAAGTTAGACATCCTAAATTGTCKGCTTTATGAAGCAATTTGACAAGATAGTCTTGAAGCCATGCTTGATTTCTACTGRAAGTTAATTGTGTATTTGATATAACTATAGTGTGCAATGTATTGTGAAGAACATGAAACAAAACCAAACTATTGTCTTTACATGGTGACCAAGTATTACTTGGTGAGACAACCATACTAAAACCCCTCTGTAGATTGCAAGTCCAGTCAAGACTTTTTCCAAGTGGAAAAATGGAAGGAAGGTGAGCTAGGTTTATGCAATGTGTTAGGGAAAGATCCAGCTTTTTAAGGCAGGACTCAGTTTCAGATTAAGTTATAGAATGTAGAAATCCACATGCTGGATGTTTAAATTTCAAAGTTAGTTGAATAAGATCTAATATATTGTATTATACACATGTATATTGTATATAATTATATACAGGATATTGAATTTGGYCAGCTGGGTACCTCAGTCCAGGTCATTTAAACCTTTAGTTAAATAGTTTGAGAGAAAAATATCTATTTAAAAAGTACATTATCTTATGGTATGTATTTACAGTCACTTTGAGAAACTGTGGATAAATTAATATTTTAAYCATGTTATTGGTTAGAAATCAGTTTTGCACAGTAGCTGAGTTCTGTGTGGATTCTTTGGGTTAGGGAATTGGAATTAGGAATGGGGAACAAGAACTTGCTTGTAAAGCCATAGTTGACATGAAAGAACTGGCTATATTACCAGAAATAACTGAATTGCTTTACAAAAACTGACAAAGCTTCACATTGAGTATGTGATCTGCTACCATGTTATGAGAGACATGTGAAGATAATAATTTGATGTGGTACAACATAGATGCTTGAAGCATTTATCTTTCTGGAAACCTTATGGCTTTTGAAATGACTAAGGAAAATCCTTAGATTCTTCTGATTTTAACTTGCTCTAAGGGAAAGTGTTCTTGAATGTTAAAAGATTGCTATCATTTTTTTCATGTAATCCAGTCACTGAGGAACTATTAGAGAAAGCTATTATGAAAAAAGAAGCTTTCTGTGGCTTTGGAATTGGCTGGAACATTTGGTCAAGCATTTCTTCTTTYGCAAAATACTTTAAGCTGGATGAAGCATTCTCAGCAGACTTGTYTTGATGGGGGTAAACAAGGATTACTTTTTCTGATATATATTTCAGTCATACTTACGTTTAAGCATGCTGTGTCACTGGCATTGGCTTTCCTTGCTGCAGTTCATACAATAGATCAGATGCTCGCAAAGTATGTTTCATTTGTGTATTCCTTTGTGGCAGCCTTCTTCAGAACTGTTTTTGCAGAAAAATTTCAAGCAAATTGTTCTAAGAAAATATCTCCAGATTACTGCTGTAGACATATTTAKGTAAACCCAAGTCCTGAGGGAAATGACTTTAAGCATCAGTTTCCCTAATCTCCATTGTACTAGCCTGCAAAATATAGCATTTTTTATCTGCTATATCTGCTGTATTTGTAGGCTAGTGGACACCATGGCAAAGAGATACTTTTGTCTGAGCAGTTAGGGATCCTGGTGTCTGACACAAGGTGTTGGTGACACTCTTAACTTAAATCACAGATTAAACCAGAGATGAAGAGGGATGTACTTTCAGTGAAGATAAAACTCTAGGAAATAGAGGAGTATTCCTGAATCTCATATCTTTTTGCTCAAACTAATGTGTACCTAGTGATGTTTTAATGATATTCTGACAGATTTCACTAGACATGACTCATGGCTRCCAGATTGTTTGCCCTGAAGAGTAGCRGATGTAATAAACTTTCTATCTCTTTCAGTCCTTTTCYCCAGTTCTGTYATAGATCTCGATGCTCTTGTTGCAAACTTAGCTTTAATTTATAGCTGTGGTTTTCAKTTTTCTCAGCCTACCCATATTTGTTGGATCCTTTGGAGCAGATCCAGAAGCAGCTTTGAGATACAGACTTCATTGTCATGTTTATCTACCATCAACTGCAATAAGTTCATAATTCTAATTTAAGAAATCAATCTGYGTTGACTTACAGATGATCCCTAGTTTTAATGTAGGTGATCCATCCATCTTTTAGAGTAACTTTGGCACCTGTTCAGAGTTGTATGGAGGGGTATGAGGGACACACTCTGAGGCACTGATGTCTAGGATTGGATGTGAAGTACCTGTGAAGCTCATACGTGAGCAATTTGGGTAAGAATTGAATTTGGGCCACCAGGATTACTTGCTTCTACTTTGTCACATCTAGACTGTATTTGTTAAATACTTTCTGTATCTTCTGTTTTCACTCATGTGTTTTTATACCTTTAGGTTTGAGTTTTGATATCCTTTAATGGGGATAGTGAACTTGATAATAATAGTGGTAATTTAGTGGATGATATCACTCTGAGTKCTTGAATATCCCCTGTAAAGTGAAAGAGAAAACAATAGTTCAAAGCAAATTTAGTACCTATTCATAATAACTTCAATTTTGTGCTTGAAGGATTTATTCAGTCTTGTCAATAAATAGATTCTATTTATGGAATAATAGATGAACTCTGAAATGTGCCATTGCCTTTTTACTTCTGTTATTTGTGTGCAAAGTCTTTGAGATGACATTGTCAACTGCTTTTTAGTAACCTTTGCTAATATTCCCATGCCTTTAGGCTGTATCTGAAAGTCTTATGTTCTTAAATCAGCAGGGTTTGTCAGATTTGCAGCAGATGTTTTTCACACTTCAGACTTGCCAAATCTGAGCCTCAGTGCATAGGAAAGGATATTTCACTTTGTCTCAAGATAGAGCTAATACATTTTCAAGTTCACTAAGTGCGTTGCCTAGAACATGTGTGCAGCTGCTTGTACAGCCACCATAATGTCTAGCTTCCATATGAGGAATATTTTGCTTTTGAGAGAACTTGTGATGGTAGTGGAGATCTGTAAGGCAAGTGTTAGAACTATTTGGTTTTAATTAGAATAGTTAGAATAATTGGAATAAACATGCTAGATTTGGGTGTCACAGGTTTTCTGTTTTTAGTCACTTTTAGCCACTCTTGTTCTAAGCTGAAAATTATACTTGTACAATGGAATTTACTTTTTTGTTGCAAGTGTACATAATTTGTAAGTGACATTTTCAGCAGTTAAGAAACTAAAAAATAAACTGTTGAAAGGTTGAATTTGTTTGTTAGAAAGTGATATTCAGATCTGTATCACAGTTAAATACATGCTTTGTTATCCCTAAGTCACTGTCAGATTGCTTCAAGTAATATTAGATTTGAATATATTAAAACTGTTATCTAGAAACGTGGCCTATATCAGGTTGGAGATGCTACATTCTGCAATAGATCTGAATACTGCAAATCAAAACTTATTTAGGAATTTAAGGAATATCTGTTTATAATAACTTAATTGCTTAAGCTACCTTTAAAAATGAAGCTATTATATAATCTTTGAATATAAAATTATAAAAGTAGTTATTGTAAAAATCAACATAAGTTACCGTAAGTAGTGCTTGAAATGTTAGGAGTTTTTTCATTATATAGACCACCCTGAGTTTGACTACAAAGTCACTGTTCTTAAGAAGCAATMCTTCAGTTAATGGAACTTTTGACATCGTTGATTTTTGATCTATGGTGAAGTTCTGTATTTACTTATTTTCCTTTAATTATCTTGAAACCTTTCGTTTTAGATATAACTCCAATAATCRTAAAGTTAGAGATGTCCAAGTTGGAAGGGACTAGTTCTCTATTGGAATCATAGTCTTAAACTATATTATATAAAAGGCCYTGAGAGCTGTCTTGAGTGTTTCTAAGAAGGAAAATTCTACTTCTCTGGACAACTTATTTCTAATATATATCRTTCTTGAGTTTAGGAGCTGTAAAAACACTGTTGCAAAACACTAAAGTCATCTGAGGAGTTTTTTGATGTTTGAACTAATACAGTTTAAGAAAAGCCTAGTTTATGAAAGACTTGAAGTTCAGTAGCTTCTGTGCACTGCCATAGAGTTGGTCAGCAGTGTCTCAGTTCTAACTYGTGCTCTTAATGAGAATCAATTTTGCAAGAACCAAAGCATAACATTTAAGATTTTTTCATTTATTGACTTTTAAGCTTATTTTTTTTGTCTAAAAATTCAGTAACCAAAGCAGAGTTGTGCACTTTCCTTGCTGTACAGTGCCTGATGGGCCTCAGTCTTTTTCATGAGTGCTTTGGTAGCAGCTTAAGCRGCATCAATTACTGCTGCTGTGTGGCTATCAAGGTGTGCTCTGGTATTCAGAGGAATAGAGTCAATTTTGACTCTTTTAATGTGTTAAATGAAGAATCAAAGATGGCCTACAAACAATTTCACAAACTTGAGATCACAAAAACAAGTACTTTAAATGTAATTCTTTACAGCAGAGGYATTTATGCCTGGGACTTTTTGTTAGCATGGCTGACCTTTATATTACRGCAGTCTGAATAGCCTGGTTTTATGAAGCTTTATTTGGTAAATATTTTTGAATAACATCTTATTAATAATCCTGTATCACAACATTTTCTACAGTTTTCAGGGTGAATTATTTTATTTACTATTTAGGGAAAATGAAGTAGATGTCTGAGTTTAAGAAAGTCTAAGTCTCCTCTGTGGTTATTCTTCAAATAYTGTAAACTTTACAGAACTAGATTCATCTGTGATGTACAAAAGCAACAGATGCTCCTACAGGTTGTGACTGGGAATAAATGCCCTATGGAGCAACTCTCATGCTTCCTGACTCCTTCAARCTCAGTTTTGTGTGCCCACAAGTGGTGGCAGGCAAACTCTCCTTTTYTTCCTTTTTTCTCCTTTTTTTATGAGGAGTTCTTGGACTTCTGTCTGCTTATCTTCCTTTCCATCTAAAGTCCCTTCTGACCTAAAAGAGCCTCAGACTTTCACAGGTAGCCCTTGCTTCAGTATTTTTCTATAAATAGGAGTAGCTGTGTTTTCTCTTAAGTACTATTCCTCTTTTTCCTTTTGGGGCACACTAAGCCAATAATGTAATTTAAGGAGATGAATATTATGATGATGAACTCCAACTGCTGTTCATAAACTTGAAGAATAGGAGGGATGGTGTGGCAAGTGAGAAGACTGCTTTATGTGTTTATTTCTGCTGGGACTAGATTTGTTTGTTCCTTGTCTGTTTCTGGGATCGCATAGGGTACATTATGGGTTACTGTCTTTCATAAATCCTCAAGGGTGAATGACTTGCTTGTTTTTCCTCTTATAAACAAGTTTTGTTCTTATGGTTATTCACTTTTAAAAGCTGTTGAAAAGCAAAACTGTAGTTCAGTTATCTTTCTCCTCAGTTTTGAATGTGATGAGTGAGAGTTCCTTTTATGCTATTTGATAATCCTTTGGGTTGGATATTTTAGGTTTCTGTTGGTATCTGGAAAAGTCACTAAAGTGGTATCTGTCCTACTTGTCTGTATTTAATGGCTATGAAATTTATGATCTATGATATATGACTGTACCTACTCCAGTAAGTTGTTCAGCAAAATATTTCGCCTTTGCTGACTTCACGCTGGGCTTTTGATCAAAAATAATGAGCTAATGTGTCTCTTATTTTTTTCTCCTTACAGTTCAACTTTGTGGGAAAACTTTTGGGGCCCCGTGGCAACTCTCTAAAGCGCTTACAGGAAGAAACGCTGACCAAAATGTCTATCTTGGGAAAAGGTTCTATGAGGGACAAGACAAAGGTAAAAAGACCTGATAAYGTTGGTGAAGAGTGAAACTGCATTTCTTGCCTTCCTCTTTAACCCTTCCAGGGAGGAGAACAAACTCCATCAAAGATGGATGCAAATACTAAAGCACTGAATTTAGTAATACTGATTGTGTCCTTGTGGAGTTGTTTTCCTTATGGAGTCTGCCTTCAATATGAATATTTTGAATCTATAATAAGCTATCGTGAGGCTCCCCACAAAGTAATGCAGGAAGTATCAAGACCAATCTAGCTTAAATCACATATTAAGCAAGAGATAGAAGGAGACGTACTAGGAACAGAGATTGGAAGTCCAAATTTTCTTTAAAACTGTGGAAGGCCGTGATTTTTGCTATCTTTAGTTCAGTTTCAACCTTTTGACAAAATTAAGGCAGCTGAAAGTGGGGCTGCTTGCATCTCAAAGATATTTGCTTTTTATTGCAGCACAGAGGGRAAAATGTGTTTTTAATTATTGGCCATCCAGATTCCTCATTGTATGATGCTGCTAAGAGCTGCCCTCTGTATTGTCAAGCTATGTTGGTGAATGCAAAACAAGTTACTATAATGAAAGGAAATGATGCCAAAAAAAGTAAAGCAAGAAAGATAAASTTTATCTATGGAAGGAGTTTTTGAACAGCTTTAATTTAAATAATCTTCTATGTTTTGTTAAAATTGCTCATTGAAAAACTTGCACCAGCAACATGAATTGACTTTGCTATTCCTTACTGTTTGCAGTTCAAGTTTATTGTATCTCTATCTTGTTCACTCTTGAATAATTAATGACTTCTGTTTGAGTGAGGCTTGTTCAAAAAGTAGCTGATCCCAGCTAAATTTGTTTTTGTTTGTTTTTCTCATTTTATTCCTGCTGTTGCAATTTGTTCTTGTTCTTTTGGATGTTCCAACTTTTTCTGAAATAAATTAGCTGCCTGAATTTCATTTGCTTAAACTACTGCAGTAGTAGAGTGTAGAGTGTTGTAGAACTTAGTGCTGTAAAATTATTTCAGCTTAGTATGGGGAAGTTTAACTGTGATGGCTAGTGAAAGCAACAGTATTGAGCTGGAGTTTGCAACATGAGACAGTTAATGGTGCTGCATGGTGTGTGCAAGTAGTTTGATACCGAAGAGGGATATTCTTGTGTGCCTGAGAGGAAGAGTTGTGCAGAAAGCCCAAGAAAGGGACAATTTTACTTTTTAAAATTGCCTGCACATYTAGCTACTCGGTTATCTTCCCCTTAAAAATAAAGGGGAGAAGGGAGGAATAATACTTGATATCATCCATATAATAAATATTTAAGGAGCTCAACTGATAAAAGCATAATTGCCTGTAGGGCTAGTTGGTGATGGTTCGTACAGCTTGAGTAACTGCTTCAACTAACAGTTTAAAGTAAGAAACACTTGATATTTTAAAACATACGTATTTAATATCAATAAKCATGATATTGGAGTTTATTTCCTGAGATGCCTTTGTTATTTGTATTGACAAGGTAATGGTTGTCTTGACAAAGTCTAAGTTATTGACTCTGACCTGTTAATTTTCATCAAAACTGTATTTTTTAGATAAGCACCAGTTAACTACTTCTGATTGCTAAATAGTAAAGAGCATAAAATAAACGTCAGAAAAGAGTGATTTTTAATACAATGCTACCATAAAAATGACATCCTTGATCTGCTCTGTAGTGAAGTACATAGCAATTATATTGTACAATGTATTGTCTGTAATACAACAAAAACTTCACAATAACTTAAGTATTAATTGTTTTGAGTGACATTTGCTATATGTCGGAAACTAGGAAACGATCCCATAGGTCTGTGAATAATTTGTGAATGCAAATATTTCGGAGAACTCAACTCTACATTGAAGGCATAGTTTCTGCAGTTGTCTTGAAGTAGGTTGGATGAAGCCAAATGGGTTTTGAAAACAGTGTTTGATTGTATCTTCCTACCCTCTTCCTACAATATCACAAAATGCGACTTTCATATCCAGGCAACGTACACTGTTCTGTGAATCAGGTATTTGTTGTGGCGTAAGAACATCAATGAAAGTGAGAAGCTTTAATAGTAAACTTGGATGAAATAAACTTGGATTAAATGCTTGATGTGTGATGGAATATTAGATCAAACCTGTTTCTGAAGACAAACTGTTTTGCAGTTTCCCTCTGTTACACATTTTATGCACAGATGTATGTGGGAGAAATGAACTTCCTTGTGGTACTCTACATGTGAGCAGAGTTTGGTCTTGTGTCCTCCTTTGAGTGTTACCAGGCATGCAATATGGCTGGGGCAAACTTGTACTGTTCTAATATTTTAATGCTATCTTTATGGTTTGAGATATATCTGTAAAATACAGTTTTCAGCTTTTGACATCTAGGTATAATTAGTGTATGTAAAGACTCCAAATCTGTTGTAATTAATGCTTGAGTTGTATATACTATGTTTAAAATGGGGGAGAGGAGAAGTAGCAGTAACAACAAAACCTTTTTCTCTTCTCCAGGAAGAAGAATTGAGAAAAAGTGGTGAGGCAAAGTACTTCCACCTAAACGATGACTTGCATGTTTTAATTGAAGTCTTTGCACCACCAGCAGAAGCATATGCCAGAATGGGACATGCGTTGGAAGAAATCAAGAAGTTCCTCATCCCTGTTAGTATTCTTAAATTGTTCATTAAATACCAGACTTTTTTCCTATGATCCTTTATCAGCCTTTGAATATGGTATTTACAGAGCAATAAACGAATTTACAGAGCAATAAACAATTCACAGAGAATATGCTTGTCCTTGATGCTCGTTCAAGTCCTTACTCAGTGGTAAGGACTTGGTAACAAGGTAACAAATGCTCTCAGTTCATGTGTAAGGCAATATTTCTTAGTAGAAAGGACACTGGACTTAATTGGCACCCCAATTTCTATTTTATCTCTGACTTTGTGATATTACATGTTACTGGGTCAGTGCATGACTGTTCACATGTGCTTTCATCTCCTAGTGTGACCTTGAGAGAGCTAACTTATCCTTACTCAAACTGGTCAAATATATAGTATTTTGACTTGTAAATGATTGAAAAGATCTAATAAAATTTGGAAAAATAACCTGTAAGAGACATTTTCTCCCTCCTTTTCTCCTCAACCCCCRAAATCTTAAAACAGTAATATCATTTTCTGTTTAACTAAGCAATAGTAATATTGCTCCCCCATTTAATCCTCAGTGATTAGTCAGTGCTGAGAATCAAGACAACTTCATATTCTATCTTTCTCTTACATGAAGCTAGTGATAATAGTTGAGGTATGTCATTCTTATCTGATTCTGATGCACACTTGAGCAGAACTGRCAGTTCTGGGACCAGTGCTTTTATTCTGCTTGGACTTTTGTATGCAAAAGTAGATTTCTGGGTAGACAGTAGTAACTCAGGGGACTTGAAGGGAATTCAAGTATGTTTGTCCAGATAAGAGGGAGCTCTGGTATTGCATATAGATAAGGCTTATATATATATATATAATTTAAACAAAAATAAATCTTTTTCCAAGTCTGGAGTAATCTTTTCTTCCCTGAAAAGAAGTAACTGATATGCCAAATATAAACACTAGCCCAACCACTGGTCTTGTTTGTAAATTTACTTTTTGTTTTTAAATTTATTTTTGTGTTAAAATTTGATGTCAATAAATGAAAAATGTGTTTACAGTTTCTTCTACCCACTGTAATTAAGAACCAGGTTGTACTCTAATATGAATTTCAAATGTATGAATAACCGTACAGCTTAGATGTGAAATTCATGTTTGGATGCATAAAATACAAATACTGGAAATATTTCATTCCAGACCAATCAGTATTCCTCACATACTTGTTTTTAGTATCTTCCATAGACTTGTTTCTCATAAGGAGCAACCTTAACTACTTTGTAGTGTTAATTTACTTGCAAGAATCTAAGCCATTAAGTACAGTTCAGACACTAGAAATAATATTGCTGGTTGTGAAATCACTGATTGCTTAAGCTCTGCAGTGAACATTGATCTGTAATTGGTTATCAGACGAATGAATACAGAAAGCATTCTCAAGATGTACTAGTATATTTTTCATTATTAAAATCTATTATTTTACTAGTTTGTTATTTGTTGTTCAAGTGAAGATTAATTTCAAAGATCTGATATACAGAAGACCTAGGTAAGGGAATGTTACTAAAATACGTATTTCTGCATGACAGTAGTGCACAAGTTACTAGACTATAGGCACTATAACTGTTGAGGACTGGTTGGAAACCTTATGTGGCCATGGCTGTGTTAGCAGGGGTACAGGCAGATAGAAGTAGAACTGAGATTTCAGTGAAACAGCTTGTGCTGATGATGTGGCATGGCTGCTGCTGTGTCCTCAGCATTTTACTTTGGATGACCTCTAGTCACTCCAGGAATACCAAGTTTACGTACCTGGATTAGAGTTGGTCATGAGCTCCAGGCAGTTCCTTCTGTCTTGCTTTTTCCTAAACAGAGACTAGTTTATGTATACTTTACCACTTTTGTATCCACCATTACTCCACATACGTACCAAAACACAATAAATAGAGATACCTGGATGTTCATTTAGAACATCCTCATGCGAACTAAGGTATATTAATGCAGATGTACTTATGACAGTTGAAGTCCAAAGGAACATGCTGAGCATTATGCTCAGTGCAAATAAGTGACCACCGGATCATAACCTTGGAGTTTCCAAACTGCTTTTGCTTTGATGAAGAGGTAAAATTTTAACTGATTTAATAGGGTGCACTAAACAGAATGCTTATAGGAATACCATGTTATTGTGGCACAAAAGGTTGCTGTATTCACATGTAGACCATGTATTAAGTATAAAGACTTTAATTTCATAGTTTCTTACTAAAAAAATATATTTGTGTTTTGTGATTATAAATACCTTCTCTGTACACTGGAAATGAGGATATGTATGTGAATCCTTCCACCTCTGCGCTCAAGATCTTAATTTTTCTTCATTGGGCAATAAATGAAATGTTTTAAAACCTATACTGTTAAACCAGTATAATTAAAGATAGTAGAGAAAGAGTCCATCTCTTTGTATACTTTTACTACTCWTTTTTTTTGGTTGTTGCAGCATCAGTTTAACTCAGTACAATAAAGATGAGTGAWCTTTTCTAAAACAGCAAATCATGTTAGTGCTGCCATAATTTTCCTTTGGCTTTTCAATAGTAGTGAATAGTTGTTTAAAAAGCCTTCCTGCTTCCTCCTAGGTGCAAATCCAGGAGGAGATAACAGCTTTTTCCCTGCTAAAACTGCCATTGGATTAACTGTTGCAAAACACAATATTTTCTGTAAAGTGTAGTACAACTGTCAGTTGTCCTTCAAGAAGACAAATATATCAGGCTTCTTGGCACTTATAATGTGTTCTTTAGAGCATAAGCTAGCTATGCCTTCCAACAATATTGGCATAAAAAGCTGCCCTGAAGTTTAATACACTCAAAAGTGCTTATGAAGCTAGCTTGATTTAAACCTAGTTTTTGCAGGTAGAATTGTTGTTTCTGACTTAGAATATATTTTCCTTTAAATTAGGAAGGGAAGAGTCTTTTGTCAGAATCTCTTCTCAAGATTTGAGTGGCGGAAGTTTCTTTGACAGCTACAGTATTGCTCTATTTTAGGTTACTGAGTATCTGAATTCTTTCCCTTGTCTTAAAGAAATGTATACAAATATTTTTAAGAAAAAATATYTACTGGTAAACTCCATCATGCAAACAAAACTTTAATATTTTTCATCTACTCTGTCTTGCTGCCTGTGCATTAAGAGTCTATAACATCTGATGATGAAATGGCTCTTAATGGTGTCTGGAAAGGCTGCTGATTGTTTTTCTGAATCTCTTGCATACTTTTTGGAACGTCAGCAACTAAGGTTACTCCGTAATATCCAGAATGTTTGCATCTGAAAAAAGCACGTGAAAATCCTGAATGCTTTGCTGTCAGGATAGAAAAATGCATGGAATACTTCTCCTTATTACAGTTTTGGTAGTCAAAAGCAAAATGTGATCTTAAGAAATAGGGACCTTGTTCATTAAGGACTAGTGCACTAGGTGTTGGAAGGAATGATCTCTTGTAAAAGTCTTAGGTAGTAGCTCCTACAGAAGAAAACATCCTCTGTGTTCAGCAGAGTCAGGACGGGGCAGCATTCACAAAGTGTGACAGTAGCTTTGTTCTCTTTCAATTTGTCAGTGGTGTTTAAGTGAAATGTCAGTCTCTCCCTTTCCTAAATTGTCTAGAGAGATGTGAAGTCCAGGTTTCCATGACCAGGCAGTCCTCTAGGTGAGGAGGAAAGATCGGGTAGTCTGCTGAATTTGACCTGAAATGCACTGTTTTCCAGCAGTGGATAGTCATAAATCAACCATCCATTAGTTTTAACTGTAGAATCCATTTCAGAGCATAATGGATTAGCAGCACTACTTATCGTGTCTACTTTTATTGTTGTTTCCCTGTACCGACCTGTCGCTCTGTATCTTCCTGCTGCCTCTGGCATTTGTGATAAGGACCATCTTTCCTTTCTGTAAATCTACACTATAGAGTCCTTGCTGTGACTGAGGCTGCCAGGTACTGCAGTGGTGACCTGCAAGAAAAGGAGGAGGAGGCATTGGGAAGGAAGAGGATCCAGTATGCACAGTAGCAATCCAAATGCATCTTGTTTAAAAAAATAATAATAAAGAAGCTAGCATTCTATATACCTGCTGATGAAAGGAATTTTTTGGAGCTTAATTTTGAGGAGAATATGTAGTGGAGAAATTACTTAGGACAGTGCTGCCATAGGGCTGTATCAGAACTTTGTGACCAAAGCTTTGTGACTTTGGTTTGTGTTTGCAGGCCAGTCTTAACAGTACRTTAGCATTATACTTCAAGATATTTCATTCCATACCTTATGTAATATTTTACRTTTGTAGCCAAGTCTGCCCATACAGGCTTTTCAAATGTTAGGTCCAAAAGCAAGAAACAAAATGAGGTTTCTATATGATAGTTGGTGCACATGGTTCTAGATTGATTCTGGTGGTTTGATTGTCCAGCCCCTGTTTTTATAATTGAGTATTTTTCTGAAAAGCCTTAAATATTTCATTTGTTGAGATAGTCTGATTTGATGCTCCAGACCTCTTTGTCTTTTTTTTGGAAAACTGTCAGATTGAGACCATCAGAGTGTGAAAAGACTGATTTTGTTTCTTGATTTCTGCTATTGTCTAAATGGAGCATGACCTTAAACGAGCAGCTGGGAATTAACTTTTGAATCTATTCAAAAGTCAGCTGATCAGTCAAATGTCTTTATAGTGTCACATGATTTTAACACTAACTATTTAGGAATGGTTTAAAATATTTATTAATGGAAGTCTCTGGAAGTAGAAGAGTTCAAGAATAAATAAGGAACGTGGATTTCATACTGATCTTGTAGTGCAGAGCTCATGTTTGGGTGAGCTATCTGGTGCAAAACTGCTTGATATTCTTTTGAAAGTTATTTAATAAATAAATACAATAAAACCAGATTTCTGATAAGAATGTTTCTTTGTTTCTTAAATAGTAAAATTGGTGAGATTTGAACAAATAGTCTTTGAAATAGGAGCACTTGTGGGATGGTTTTTAAGTGGTGAAAGATAAGAACAGTTTATGTCAATTCTTTTTGCATTCTTTTTAGGTTTGTCAACATTTTCAGGTACTTAATGTGTACGTTTACATGCTGAAGGATTTTGTTGTTTCCTCTTCTAAAAATGCATTCCTTGGCTTGTTTTAAGTGGGGGAAATGGTTGGAAATATATTCAGCTCTAAAGAGTTCATTGTGATATTTGTGTTACTCCTGTGTAAAGTGCCAGATTTTGAGGTTCGCTCAAGGTCTTTGAGAAGTCTCTCGTGTATTTGAGAAGTACTGTATTTATTCCATGTAAATAATGTTAACTTTCCTTTCTGTAGACCTTGAGGGAAGATGTGTGCAGAATAACAAATCTTGTGTTTCTAGTTCATTCACCTTTCTGTATTGAAGGAAAGGAGATCTTGGAACGCTTTCTTTTTAGATAATAGCATGCATTTGTACTGAACAAAGTTCTTTGTTCTTTTCTTTCTAGCTCCCTTTTAAAAGAGTAGGCACCTGATCTACTCCTTGCTCATGAGGTCTCCTCTCAAAAGTATATTTCCTCTGCACTGCCTTACGACAGTGGACAGTGAGATTTTCACTGATTTTAATGGACTATTGTTCTCTATACAAGAACAACCAAAAAAGCAAATATCTCGGAATGTGGGAACTCTCTCATCTACCCTTTTACCCTTTTCTATCCCATCCACCTTTTTATCCTCCTCCCTCTGCCCAAAGTCATCTACAATGTTCAAATGTTTATATTTTAAGTTTCAAAGCTACCTGGGCGGTACTATGCAGTGCAGATGAAAAATGTGACCTGAGTAAAAATTGCACCTAATATGCAATTACTTTTGGAGGATTTGTCTAAATGATGTACTTATTATAATGTGTTATTTATTTCTAAACTTTTCAGTGGTAGGTTGACTTTCATTTAGAAGGGTGTGTGGTGCTAATCCGATGTGGTGGTTGAATAGTTTTCTTCCCCCTACTCCTCTGTTTTAGGACTACAATGATGAAATCAGACAGGCACAGCTTCAAGAATTAACATATTTGAATGGTGGTTCAGAAAATGCAGAAGTTCCAGTTGTTCGAGGAAAGCCATCTATTCGAGCAAGAGGAGTGCCAGTTCCTGCTTTGTCCAGGTAAGTAGCTAAGCTACAGGACATGTCCGTTTCRGAGTGTGTATTTTAGGCTTTTCCTTCAAAAAGTAAAATATATGAAGCAAAGAAGGACCACCAAAGAACAGAAGGTAAGAGAAATAATCTTCATATCTATTTTGTCTAGATAGATGTAGGATCGTCTGTTAGTTTGTGTTCTGAATTGAGCCAGTAGTGACTTGTAACTTGCATATTTTTTCTTAATATAGATATTGTTCATCATAGATGCTCAGCCCTGCTATAGATCCTGTGTGACTCGCAGCTGAAATAACTGTTCGTTAGAAGTATTTATATATTGAAGGATTGGCTTTGGCAAATTAAATGTCTGCTGCATTGAGTGTCATCTGACATTCAGAATGATTTCTCTAAATACAGAATACAATTTTTTTTTTTTTTTTTTGTTTCTGGATATTGACTGAGACAGTGACTTTTCATAATGTGATGAAAATATAGCAGCAGGAAAGTGTTTTGGAGGCAGAATTCAGATTTAAGATCACTTAGGTTATACTTCTAATTGTGCAAATGTCACTTATGAAGAAACAAATTTGTTGTTGACTTTTGCAGTACTTCTGATGCAGAGTATTTTTTCTGATATAGGATATATTTTCCTTTGATACCTTTGCAGTGATTCTCATTAATAAAAGTTATGTTAGAACATTTAAAATCAGTTCATACAATATTCTGAGATGTATTTTAACTTGGATTAAGTGTGTTAAGTTAAAATCACTGAGGCTTTAGTCTGTTTAGGAAGAGCTCCTTGTGTACATCCTGATTTATGTTTGATAATACAATGGGGAACGAGCCTTAATTTGGAGAGTTTGTTAGTTTTAGTTCTGTAAAATTCTTTTGGATGTATAGTGACTTCCATAGTGACACAAATTTTTGTTCTTATGTTCTTAGCCAAATAACTTACTACACACTGCATATGTTCTGTTGCTTTTCTTAATTTTAATGTTATTCAAAATAGTGATAACAAAATACAGAGGTTAACTTTATCATTGTTGTCAACCATCCCTAAGTTCTGGCAAGTTGCAGTAGAAGTCTGTTTGCTTTTTTTTTTAGTGACTTTAATGGCTTGGGTGGCAGTCACATTCCAAGAAGGAGTAGTACACATTTTTGTTATAAAAGGATTTGCACCTCCACTGGAAAGTTTTTGTTTGCCCTGAGACACACTGAAAATAGTTCTTTTATTGATTGTGGTATTGATCTGTAGTTTTTTGCCATGAAGATCTGCTGTGAAGCTGTATGCATTTCAGGTTACTTTGCTAAAAGATATATGAATTGCTATCATAAAATTGATGCATTATCTACAGATACATGTCTCTGCATTTGTAGTATCTGACTCCTTCAAGAGATCATTTCCATTTTGGATTATATTTTCAATAAGTCCATATAGTAAGATAGTCCGTAAAAGTAAGATTTAATTCTTTTTCTTTTGTATTTAGTATAGTGATAAACTGTTTTCTGTGAATGTGGAGTACTGTGTACTTTCTGGAGTACTGTGTTCAGTTCTGGGCACCCCAGTATAGGAAGGACGTGGAGCTTCTGGAGAGGGTCCAGAGAAGGGCAACCAGGATGATTAAGGGAATGGAACATCTCTCGTATGAAGAGAGGCTGAGTGAGCTGGGCCTTTTTTCTCTGGAGAAGAGACGGCTCAGAGGGGATMTGATTAATATGTATAAGTTCAGGAAGGGAGAATGCAGGGAGGAAGGGGACAGGCTGTTCTCACTGGTGGCCAGCGATAGGACGAGGGGTAATGGCCACAAACTGAAGCATAAGAAGTTCCGTCTCCAGGTGAGGAGCAACTTCTTTGCTGTTAGGGTGACAGAGCAGTGGAACAGGCTGCCCAGGGAGGTTGTGGAGTCTCCTASTCTGGAGGTCTTCAAAACCCGCCTGGATGCCACCCTGTGCCACATGCTGTAGGTGTGCCTGCTTGAGCAGGAAGGTTGGACTAGATGATCTSTAGAGRTCCCTTCCAACCTTAAATATTCTGAAATATTCTGAAAATATTCTGAATGTCACGTGTTTGTAGATAGGTTATGTTCTTAAATAGCTTTAAAATTTTCATAAATAGCTCTGCTATATACATACTGCAGGCTTAGTTTAGACTTGCAGTTCTTTTCCATATTTTCTTCATTATTCATATGTTTGTAAGGTAATGTTTTTGTGATGCAGTAGCTGGTTATTGTTTAGCTAGATCAGGTGCTTTTGTCACTGAAGTTTGATAACCACTTTCCAATGCAAACTATCTACTTGATGCATGCTTAACCTGGTAGTGCTGAATTAGTTCCATCTTTTGTGCATTTGAGTAATTATTCTTTTTATCTAAACTAGCCTTTAATGAAAGACTTGRTGCTCTGTAGCTCACCATCTTTTGTAGTTCATCCTATTACTCTACAACTATTGGAGCATCTTCAGAGTAAATCTGTTACTAGTATCTGAATTTGAGATGATCTTGCAAATACAAAAGGAAATTGTTTTGTCCTTTCTCTTTTCACATATGGTTTAAAAAAAAAAAAAGTTATCTTTTTGACTGAAATTCTCCTTGAGTGATACTTATAACATAGCTGCTGAGATACAAAAGCCATTGTGTTAAAGATCTCAAACTATGTAATACCGATTTATTCTTTTTAGCACGAGTTGACTTGAGTAGTACTTCCATTGATGGAAGGCTGTGCCTTACGATGTTAAATAAAATAGTTTGAATAACAGGCATCCCAGAGACCTCCAAGAGTTTGCAGCAAAGTTTGGAAATGATTCTTTTGTGTATCTTCAAAATAGTCTGTAGCCTGAGAAGACTTGTAAAATGAAAAATAAAAAGGTCCTTGACTCAACTCTACCTGTTTAAAATCAATAGAATATTTTTAGTGTTTCAGTCTTGACACTCAAATCATCTTGTTGCAAATGTGATAAATTATTGTGTTAAAGTTGCTGTTTTTTAAGCCTTTATGTGCTATACTATTCCTGGGTAGTTCTAATAAGTAAAAAGGCATAAATTAGTATTTATTAATCAGGCTTGTTGAGACTGATAATAATACATCTTATTAAGTGCCTTCTTTTTAGATGTCTTATCTCTGACGTGTTTGTTTAGCTCTATGTAATGGTTTTGCTTTCTGGAAGACATTTATTTGTTCTACTTGCATATGAAATTCTAACTTGTGCACAGGTTCTSCTGACTGTAATTTGGCAGTATTTTTTTCTGCTATTTCTAGATAGTGTTTTGACTTGAGCCAGATAAGATTTCTATATTAAAGTTGGAAGTGAATGACTTATTACTGAATAGAAGAGTCATCTTGAACTTTCTTTTTCCTTGTCCTTGATCTTGGACTTGGAGCTGCTTCTTTCTGCCTTCCTCTGTTCTGTTTCTTTTTGTTCATTCCTTTCGGTACAATCAATGATGACCTTCAAGGTGGGAATGTTATGAATGCACCTGAAGTTGTACCAAATATCTACCCTTTTTAAGTAACACCTGTCTATCCTGTGCAGAAGAAGGAGGAACATAAGTTTGCTCTAGTGAAAGTCCAGTTTTTATTTCTTGAAGACTTTGTTCCATTTTAAACTCTAAAACAGATCATTCTTAAATCACTTATTTGAGACAAATGCATAAAATAAAGGATTATACTCTTGAAATTATTGGACTAGCAAACTTAGAGCCTCATTTTGTTTGCTATGACACTGCTACATCTTCTGTTTACTAACATGTCCTGTGGAATGCTTTTTTAATGTTTCTAAATTCCCATCCAGAGTCACTGCTGTATAAATGAGAGATACAATTTAAATGTGAGCAGAATCATCTGATTAACTAGAGTCCGTAAACAGGCATGTGTTTACATATGTTACTGTTAGGACACTTTGCAGCTTTAAAAATAGCATTACCTCTCTACAGCTTACAGTTCTGAGTTTATGATTAAGTAGAAATGAAATTGAATCTTAAATGCATTGGAAAAGCAGAATTTGAGGATGGCAGTGATGAAACTGAAGATTTGGATAAATTAGTGGGGTGAAGAGCAATGAATGTCATTAATAGCTGAGAATTGCTGTTGTCATTCAGCACATTTTCTAGCTTCATTTAGCTCATTAGTGTGAAATAATCTGGACCTAAACAATTGTACTTAAGTGAAAAAAAAAAAAAAAGATTGTGTTCACTCCTCAATTTGAGAGAGAAAATACATTTGAAAGCAAATATTAAAAATAGAAATTAGATATGGTAAAATTACAAATTAATACTAAAGAGGCAGAAGTATTTAAATACTTTAGTAAGGATGTTTTGTGAAAGGTATGTTCTGTTTAGAGTATTTATGGTAGATCAAGAAGTTTGCTTTATAAAAATTAAGTCCTTCAAAGCTTTTACTGTGTCTTTTCCCCTCACTTTCTCACACCAAATCACAAGTATAAAATAAAACAACATTAAAATAAGTTTCATTTTGTAACAAAAATAGTTTTCTTGATGTGACCTTCAAGGGATGCTATGTGACATATTTCCCCCATACACTCTCCTCTGCTACACAGTGTAACAAAAATCAAGGATATTAAAGAATTGCTAAGAAATAGAAACCAAATGGATGATGAAATAATCAGTTCAAAGTTTTATTTGAATTTATAATAATTTTATCTTAACATGGATAGAGGTGGTGGTAATAGTACCTAGCTAAAAAATGGAACTTTGTTTTTAATTACTATCTATCTTCTACAATCTGAGTAAAAGACAAACAATAGATCCTTGAAGAACAGTGTTTCTCTCACCTAGAGAAATTGTGAGGTTCCATATAGTGTATTGATCTAAAAGTCTGAATATTTTTTCTCATAAATATATCAAAAAGAAAACTACCTCCTGTGATGCTTAACTGTTGTAGGTTGAGAGGCATAAGTATGTACTTTTGATGTATCAAACCTGAGGGACCACAGATAAGAACTGTTTATTTTGCTTGCTAACCTATATTTCAAAGTGCTAACAGTCAAAGTATATGGAAGTCTGAGGGCAGATACATGGAGGGTGCACAATAGCTTGTGTATTGTCAGTCTGTTGTAAAGATGTACTTAAGTGCCTTGGGGCAAAGAGGATGTTCAGAAGACTTCTCAAGGGTGATAAGGTAGCACATTAGTTAGAGAACACAAAAAGGCAAAAGCGCTTTTACTTGAAGCTGAAGGTTGGCACCACTGCTTGATGGAGAATTAATATTTTGCCAGTGGGTAATGTGTAAGCTTTGGGGCATAGCGTTTTGTGGCCTTTGGAAGCGGAAACGAAGAGCCTGTGGAAGGATTAAAGAGGGGACTAACAGACAAGACAATACACTAGGATGAAATTTCAGATGGAAAAACTGCCTAAATGGATATCGATRTAGCACGGTGTTGTTAGTTGAAAGACAATATGTTTCCAGTGACTATGTTGTTTATAATGAAAACATAGGTTATATTTTTGAACCTAATTTGTGGATCATAGTAATGTTTCATAGTTACTTGAACAAATACAGCAATTTTCATGAAAGCAATCTAATCACTAGTACTTCGGGAAATTCCAAAATCTACTTTCATAAATCTTAGATTCATATGAAAGAATATCTGGCAGTGGGTGGTGGTGGGGAATCCTTTCATTGTCTTAAACTTTTGATGCCATCTAAGACTTCTATGCAAAATAGTGTTTTGTGGGAATTGAAAGAAAGGCTATATTTTTGTTACTGTTCATACTGAAATAGAAGGCACAGGATGAGAGTAGGATGTGTTTGAAGACCAGGAGAGCTGGTGATGACAGCTGAAATTTGGCCTGCAGGATGACACCTTTCAGTCGTCATGGAAACAAGCATGTGAAGAAGGACTTGGAGGTACTAAGCTGTGTTGAATTTGAGTCAGTGGTATAGTATCTGTATGAAGGTGATAGAAAAGAGTGGGGTTTTTTGTTTTTTTTTTTTTTAATTTGGATGTAGAGAGATGCCTATAAATTGAGGTACACAAAGGTGCTTGAATTTGTGGGTGAGATGGTTATAGAAGAAAAGAGGCTGAGAAGAATATTTCTACTGTCATTTTGCAGAACTTAAGCAGGTGATAGATCCCTCTGAAGAGCAGGTTACTAGTGGGAGGAAAAGCTCAGAAAAACAAAATTTTAAAACAAACAATGAGACTGTATCAGTAATGGTAGCCCCCAAACAGAATATGTGGAAGAAACATGGAGAATGTAGCAGAAAATAGATGAGTGAGTGCTGTGAGTGCAGTGAGCGCTTTCTAATATGGTGTGTATTAAAGAAGCCTTGAGTAGAAGACAAAAGATCAAGGGAACTGCATAAATTATGAAGTTAGTAAATGAATAGCAGGAGCAAGCAGGACAGATGAAAACTGAGGTAAGTGGAAGGACGAGCAAGAAAAGATAGTGAAAAGGATGTGTGTGTGGAGGGAATTAGCTGTTGTGCTTTCAGTGCTGTCCTAGTTGCTCTAGGACAGAAGTATAAGATGACTTTGGGGACTTGTTGCTGTTCATGAGAGCAGCAGTAGTGACTCAGACCTGGAGCCACTATCCCATTTAGTGACCAGTCCCTCCGATTTCATGTCATCTCCATGTTATATGGGGCAAGATCGAGTAATCATTTCTTATGTACTTTTTTCCTTTCACGTTTATAAAGTTGTTGCATTAACCTCAGCTGCCTCTTGTCTGCAGAGCCCTAGTTTTTTATCATTTTATGTATAAGCTGTTCCATGCTGTTGATTTTTTTGCATCATTTCTGATGGTCTTCTAGTTCTTTTATGTTTTTTCAAATGAGGAAATGGAATTGTAATAATTTTCAAGGCACAGGTGTACCATAAACTTATACAGCAGTACAATGTTTTCTGTGATTTGTTCCTATGTTTTCTAAATTTTMAATGTCATTATTTTTCCCATGTGTTGACCATGGGGCCAATCTTGGAGTGACAGACATTTTATTGGTGGTAATAGCCAAAAGCTTGTCATTTTGTACACTGTTAGGAGTGTGTTTTTATTTTAACTCCTATGTGTAAAGGAGGTCACTCCTTAA